TTAGTGCATAGCCGCAGAATTGCTCTTCAATTAATACAAAACGGTGAGTACTCAGCGTTCTTCAATCTCGATACCATAATCACCAAATGATGTTAGTTTTTGAATTTCTTCAAACGACGAGAATATCTCGAATGAGCGCAAAAAAATAGAGCTTTTTAACACTGACAAGAATTACAAAGCAAAAATTCATAATCATCGGATAACAAAGGATCGATTTATTAATACAAATTCTTGCTTATAACATGATATTCAGATTACATGCCAACAGGAAGAGTCTGTGTAGGAGTACGTCATTCGTCAATCTTGGCTGGCGCTAAGAGCGATAACACTGAATTGTGTCTCTGTCGGGTCGAGTTCCATATACTTCTTGATTACCTTTGCGGAATCCTTGTATAATATAAAGACAGTTTGTTTGCTCAGTTACGGCGTATCAATTGGTTCAAAGGATGTTAACGCGCATACATACCTCGAGTAGATTTGTCGTTGGTCCGTGATCTATGGGAGCTGAATTTCGTCCATCTAACTCATATAGGCGTCCGTTCTTTTGAGAGAAGCAAATGAAATGAAGTTTTACGTCTTCATCCGGCCGCGGGGCCTATGAATAGTTAATACGTTTACATGACTTGCATTAATAACGTAATGTGGTGTAATCGTGTGCGGCGCTCTTCTATTCTTATTACCCTTGTCTGCCCAGCCTCTCCAGCACTTTTATGAGCTTCAGCAAGACCATCATCTTCCTCAAGTATTTTAGCTCGTTCCTCTGGTGACGCGTCTTTGGTTTTCTCAATTAAACTCTTTAATGGGCCATTAACTATGTGAGTCAAACATTGATAGAAGGATTAGTTGTAATCTTGGCATTCTTGAAATACTGTATTGATTGGGTGTTTAGTTCTTGCTCACCTTGACTGACATCTAAACTATTTGCAAGCGAATGTAATAAACCAATAGTACCACATGCGTTTGATATCGTCTGCTTATAAAATATAAGATCTGAGGAGATGATTTGTCCTTCTTTTTGAGCTTGCTGTTTTCTGTACTTTTCGTTATTCGCAGTTATCGGATATAAAAGAAGGACTGAGGCGACCGGTTGAGGGACCATTGCCAGTAACTCTTGGTCGAGGCCTAAACAGATCATATGACTTGTTAACGCTGAATTCACAGCACAGAAGGCATCCATCGAGCCGTTAAGAATGTAATATTACCAAATACATCCGTATAAGCCCATGAACGTGATAAGCCGAGTTTATGAGCATACTGAAAAAGAATTTAAGTCACGTTCAAAGTAATAGACAGTAACATAGCACGTAATGTAACAAAATTATACCTCGTTCAGAACCTAAAGGGAAAAACGTTGTCAAATGAGAATTCAACTGTGACATTGGTCATGGAAAGAGTAAAAATGAATGGATGGACGCAGCGAATATACACATACATCAGGATTCGATTCCAATGGCAACCATTTTGATTTTTTCTTGGTCTCTTCAGTCATTTTTCGATTGTAAATAAAGAATACGTCAAATTTGCAATGTTTCGGCCTATTTATATAGCACTAACTGATTGCTGACGCACTGGCGCTTACGCATGCCCTGGCAAATGCGCTCACGTTTGTAATCTCTTTATCACATTCCCAAGTGTGACTGTGAGACAAAATTTCAGTGGTTTCCATTTAAAGATGGAAGGCAAACAAAGCGTATTTTAATTTTTTGTTTCGTAACCATTATAGTCAAGAAATTATCCAACACTTGTTAACGTCATACAGTGTATTCCATATATTAATATATAGTATTCAACAATAATGACCGGGATCAATGTTGGTCCTTACGATGAAAATTGCTCCTTAT